GCACTGATGATGTTACCTAGTTGGGTGATGAAACGTCTGCAAGAAAACCCCCAAGCTCAGACAGCACCAAAGACCCCCTCGGTTCAACCCTGCGCTACAAATATTTTCCTTTATTGGTATTTAAAACATTATGAGAAATATTTTCTCCCCTCTTGAACATGATCAGCAGGAAGCTCACTGCAGACATAAGATGAGAGAAGGGCTGGCAACTGGCTTTAGACTATTTTTGACTAGACTAAATATTAATATTTTTTTCCGGCTAGCTTAAACATTCCCGTTTTCGATGAAGGTGATGGTCTCAGGCTAAGGAAGGCCAACAACCATTGGAGCTTTGCAGGCATCCAACTTTTCAGCAGAGACGATCCCAGTTACCTGGAAATTTGTTGACTTGTCCCGAATAAATGACATTGTCGTGAAAGGAGACAGCATGCCAATAGATGTCGCAGGGCAAACGGCGACCAAACGGAAACTGGACACAGCAGAAGAGAAGGAGACAAAAAGGAGACCCCTTAGCCAGAGTTCCCTGGGCGTACAGACATACTTCGTGGGTCTACAGCAGGGGTCTCCAACCTTGGCAACTTTAAGCTTTGCTGGCTGGGGAATTCTGGGAGTTGAAGTCCTCCAGGCTTAAAGGTGCCAAGGTTGGAGACCCCCCTGGTCCACAGGAAGAGGGAGATACTTTGCAGAGATTGCTCTGGCCTTGCTCCTCTCTTTAATAGTGAAAGAAAAGCATCAAAAACCTCAGCTTCATCAACAAGCAGAGAGAGAAAACAATTAATTAACACGCTAATTGGGCACGTGCTTTCATTCTCCCCTGCTTAATGGGGAACGGTGGCACCCACAACTGACAACAACAGCCACAGAGAAGGGGGATCTGTGACTCACTGCCTGATGCCTTGAGACTGGGGGGGAGGCGAGGGGGGCAGGGAAGACACTCCGTAACCTGCGAAAGGTCCGTTGGCAGGAAAACAACCCAGCAACAGTGCAGCTCTGCTCCTGACCCTCCTCTTCCTCTGCCCCACAGGCACCTGGAATGCAAGGGGGGGGATCTCGTGCCCCCAACATGCTGCCTTCCAAGTGTGCTCAGTGTTGCAATGACGAGGCAGTCGAGTTGTTCGATCATGAACAACCGAATCACGATGATCTTTATTGGAGTCTAGTCTTTCATTTATACACATTTTTAGTTATCCTCCATCAACTTTGGTTACTGCTTAACTTTCGTTACTGTTTAGCAGAGTAATCCATACAATTAATTATCTCTAGTTAAAGTCTAACCTGTGTTTACTTCCTCTCTCTAATCCTCCTTTAGATGAGTGACTTTGTTTGCCTGAGTTGTATTTGCTTGGAAACATTCTTTATCTGAGGTTTGCCATCCGAGATTGGAACATTCCTGCAGTTACAACTCTACAGCTCAGCCCCACCTTCCCAAGCAGCATGGGAGTCGGTAGTTCAACACACCTGGAGGACCCCGGATTGGGACAGGCTGCCAGGGAGAAACCCCTAGCCCAGGAGAGGGGAAAGGGAGCCTGGAAAAGAGATAAACGGGGCGAAGGGCCCTCTATTTGCAAGGGTGCAGCAGCTCCACAGGAACTCATCCAACCTGCCTCTCCCAGACTGAGACAATGAGCAAGATGCTAACTGTGCCGTCCAGACAGTATATAGTTAATTGGGAATTGGGATAGTTAAGTGGGAATTGGGAGCTGTTCCCTTAAGGGAATGCCTCATGGTAAATGTAGTTAATGCATCATGGGAAATGTAGTTCATGTCATGTGGTCACATCTGTAATCCTGATTGGTCACTGAATTGACCCTTGGTTGGGTTGGGGGAGTTTTCTTTATTCTTGCTTGGGCCCCAGCAGCATCATGCTGTTTTTGGTCCATCGTTATGGGATGAAGATAACTGTATTTTTACACTACGGAGTCAACTATGCAAAGATTGGACATGAGATGGATCTCAACATAACCGTGAGTTATACTTCGAGGATGCCTTATGACCCAATAAAGAAACTTTGTATGGAAGCCTTTGTAGAGTTTGCCTGACTGTCTTTACATTCAGCCAGCAATTAAAAGACACTAACATTCACAGAACCCCTAGTTGCGTAGTGGAAAGAAGGATCGCACACAAAAAAGAACTCAAAGAATATACACAAAATTCTATAAACCCGCTATTATAGAAAGGGAAATAAAGCCAGGACAACTGGACTAAGAGAATGTGAGGAAGAAAGATGCCTGACTCACTTGCTGACCAAAAGAGATGAGAGACCCTTGTCCCCTGAGCACTCAGTCCCCTTCCTCAAGGCCATCCAGACGGTCCACGCTACCAGCTCCTTAATTCTAAAACAATCCCCAGGGAGCCTTCAAAGTGACAGAAGGGGACAAGGGGGAGGCGAGGAAATGCAAGGAAAAAGCCAGAATTGGCCTTTCATCTCTTGGTCCCTAGTCCGTTTGATTTGTGAATTGGGTACTCACAAATTTCCTTCCATAGGAAAAATAACACACACACACACACACACACACACACACACACACACACCAAACAGAAAGGGAGACAGGGTGATGGTTCAAGACACAGAAAGGAAAAACAGCATCCTTACAACCGTGCAGCAGTAAATATGTATCAGCGAAGTGTCGATGCAACGTGAGGACTAGATGCTTGAGTTTACAAAGAGAAACAGAAGCTGAAAGCCTCACCCTTTCCAGGCATGTTTATTTCACTTCAGAGGAGTGTGTGTTAAAAAAAACAACGCCACAAACGGCCATCCTTTCTAAAAGTAATGCACAAGTTCAAGGGATGTTTTCTGCAAATGATGCTCAGATCGCCTTTCCAAAGGCACGAGCCCCCTCTCCTGGCCACAGAGCCCCGGGGGGGAGTGGTGGGGGGGGGGGGGGGGGGTGTCTCTGAGCTAATTATGCTAATTCCTTGATAACACCCTGCAAAGCCCAGTGGAGAATGAAGGTGTCACCTTGTTGCAAAAAAGGATTTGGATTTGTTGGGGGGGGTGGCGACCTCTCAGAAGTGTCACCCACAGGGATTAGCACAGAGGCAGCCTGGCTTTCTGCTCACACCTTTGCAAGGGATTTTCACACGTTGTGTTAGCACAAAATCCTGTTTTAACCAGATTTATTTCTGCTTCACTCTCCAATATTGCAGAAGGAGTTTTGACTAAGCGAGGGCCAACGTTCTTCATGGCCGAACACTGATATGACAGTTCGGTTTTCTGATTCTGCCCCAAACCTTGATTCCCCACCCCTCTTCCCCCTTCCTAAAGAGCTTGGGAACCAGCCTGCCTGCTGTGGATCTAGGAATGCTTAAACACAAAGCTTCAGTTTTCCCCTTTTCTTGTGGTTCCATTCAGGTATTGTGAGAAAGGCTGTGGGGATGCCCGGGTCTCTGGAAGTCACCATTTAAGGCAGGGGTCACCAACCTTTTGGACCTCAGGGACCACCAAACTCATAATTTTAAATCCTGCGGACCAGAGACCCTGGGAAAATCCCCAAAAAAGTCTGCAGGAAAATTCCCCACTCCATTTTCCTATTGATCAATCCTTCTTTATTTAGGATCGCAGGATACAGTCTCCTGCTCTGATCTCAGAGGGAGGGAGAGAGAGAGAAAGAGAGAGACTTTTGGCTTTATGCAAGGAAAGCAGCAGAAGCAGCAGAAGTCTTTCTTTCTCTCCCCCAAACTCCGCCAGAAATGAGTCTTTGCCGGCACAGCCTCTTGGAGCAGGAGGCCTTGCAGGCCCACAAAGACTTATAAACGGATATTTGAAATTAGAGAACAAGAAGATAAATATTATAAGGTATGGGATTTATTTTATGAATGGTTAGACAAAAAAAATATGGAAATGAAATATGTAAGAGAATTTTGCAATATAAGGATAATAGAATTATACAGAATATAACATAAAGATGTACTACTATTGGATGGATTTAGGATGACGTAATGAATGTTATCAGATAAATTTATCTAAAATCTTGAATAAAATGATGTAATAATAGTTATAGTCAAATGAATTATTAATAATGATAATAATGTACAAATATATAATAGATTGATAATATGAGAATTTATACGAATTTTAAGTGAGGACTATGGAGAGGATGCACAAAAGACTTGTAACCAACTGACACACTGTATGTATGTATCTAGAAGATGGTTTTATGTTTTATGTTTTGTTTGTGTATGTTTGTCTAAAATAATATTTTTTTTTAAAAAAAAGACTCATTTCTGGCTGAGTTTGGGGGAGAGAAAGAAAGACTTTTGCTGCTTTCCTTGCGTGCAGCCAAAAGCAGAAGAAGAAAGATGCGGAAGGAAGCAGCCCCGTGGCCAGGCCAGGCGCGTGGGGTGAGTGGGGCAAGTTCCCCCCCTCCGCCCTTTGCCCCCTCCCCTCACTATCCTGTGTTGCTCGCAATGCAAGTGACGTGAGTCTTGTGTTCCTGCGCAGCCTGGATTAATTGCTTTGGGGGGGGGACATTTCTCTGAGGACCACCAAAATTTTCTCACGGACCACCAGTGGTCCCTGGCCCACTGGTTGGCGACCCCTGATTTAAGGAAAGGCTGAAAGGAGGGGATTGGGGATCTGAGCAGCCCAGGGCCAGCTACTGGGGCTCGGCCAGCTGCCCCCATTTCCCAGGGGAAGAGAAAACCCACAAGCAGCAAGCCCACCACCAAGGAGACCCAATGCCTGCTGGGAGTCCAGCCCTGTGCTTCTCCAAGGGTTGGGTTCTTGGTGTGGCCACAAGCCTGGGCCCGGGCCATCCAGCAAAAGGAGCTCAGGAACCTCCCCTCCCACCTGCCCTGTGCCTAGAATTGCCCACCACCCTGGTTGTCAACACCACAAAGGCCTTTCTGGCAGCACTCAGTGATGTCACAAACAGCTCTGTGGACACTGGGAAGGAAAAGGAGGGATGGGAGCTGCAGGGAGGGAGGTGAGGGTCCCTGAAGACTTCAGCGGGGCGGGGGGGGGTGAGGAGCTGAGCCTTCCCAAACCAGCTTCCTCCGAGTGCTTGGGACTCCCACTCCCATCACAGCCAAACCAGCCCAGCCCAGGGCGCTGCAGTCCTTCAGAACCGCTCCGGTTCACTAGCCCCTTCTTCTTCTTCTTGGATCCGAGCAGACCCTCCCCTCTTATCCTCAACGTCGGGGCTCCGGTGGAGGGGTGGGGGAGCCCCGCGGAAGGGGGAAAAAAAAAAAGCCAAGCAGCCCGCGCGCGCCTTGCGCTCCGCCTCTGCGCCGCGCCTACCTCCTTCCAGCGCAGTTCGCGCAGGCTGAGCTTGAGCGCCTCCAGCGAGGTGCGCGCCTTGGAGCTGTCCACCGTGACGGAGCGCGCGCTGCGGCGAGGGCGCGGGCGGGACCGCGGCGGGATTGCGGGCGCCACCCCGCCGGCAGGGTCCTTTCCCTCGCGCGGCGGCGGCTCCTGCGCGCTGCCGCCCCCGCCGCCGCCGCCGCCTCGCCGCCCGGCCTGGCCCCGCGGCGCTGCGCTCGGACCTCTCCCGGGCGAGGATGCGACCCCCGGTGTCGTCTCGGGCCGGCCCGCCTTCTCCTCGGGCCGGGCTTCCCGGCGGGCGCGGGCGGCGGCTCCGGCTTGAGCTGCAGGCGGCGGCAGCGTCTCCATCCGACCGGCGGCGGCTGCCCTTCCCGTTCCTGCCTCTCCTCCGGCCGTTGCGCTCCCGCCGCCACCACCGGGCGCCGGCAGGGACTGAGCATGCTCTCCCGGAGCTGCCCCGCGCCCAGGCCCGGCGTCGCCCTTGGTTGCCCGGACGAGGCAGACGCGCCGCTCCACGCGCCGCCCGCTCGGCCCTCTTTGGGCTGGGAGCTCAGGCAGCCGCGCCCCGGGGAGAGGGAGGGGGAGGCGGGCAGCCCGGAGGCTCGTCCCGGCGGGGCCTCGGCCGCCTTCAGAGCAAGCTCAAGTCCCGCACGCGCTTTTGGGTTGCCGGCCCAGTTGCGCCTCCCGAAGAGACCTCAAGACGGCTCCAGTCCGCTCTTGGCCGTGGAGAGGGGCGAGGGGCAGAGAGCCCAGCGGAGGGGATGCTGGCATTGCCCCTCGCTGCCCTTTGCACAAGTGACGGGGCCACCGTGTCCCTGAGAAGGGAGGTAACAGACTGGAGAAGTCCTTCCCCCCCCACTCCACAACTTTTGGGGACAGATTAAGCTGGGACAAGGCCTCCAGCTTGTTTAATGAAAGAGGGGTGGGTGGGCTTTGAACCCAGATGGACCACAATCTCAGACCTCTCAGCTTAGAAGGTCCGAGTAGTCCACAAGGATTCTGCGGGGGTGGCTGGGGGGGAAAACTTCTTCCAAACAAGGGTGTCCCCATTTGCTTCTAGCATCCCCCCTTCTCTTCAGCCTTCAAGCCCGCCCTGTCTTGGGAAGGGGCCAACTTGCAAGGTTGCTTGGCACGGGGGTCAACTGCACCAAGCCCCTCTCCTATCTGGGCCTTGGACCCACGGTCACACTGGGTCAGGAGGGGGGGGGGCAGCACCCTCAACCTTCCACCTGCACACACACAAGGGAGAGAAGAAATTCAATTCCACCAAGAATGATATTCTAACCGCCCCTGTGAAATTATTGGCCTGGAAGAGGAAGCGGGAAGGCCTGTAGATGGTGCTGCAGCTAAGAGACACCCAAAAGGCCGGGCCTTTCCCAAGCTCTCGCTCGTTCCTCAAATAATTAACAAGGAGGATGAAACCGGAACCCGGAAAGGCCTCCATGGCCGGGAAGAAACAGGGCATTGTTTTGGCTCGGGAACCAGAATCCGTTTTGAGGGAGGGCAAAACAGAGAAACTGGTCTTTCTTCTAAAACTCTTTTTCACCCGGCTTTCCCAGCTCAGTTCTAGGGTCCACGGCTGTGTTTGCATAACAAGCTTGATTAGTGGCAAACGGTGCAATTTCCATACCTGGCTTAATTCCGTAACCAGGTTAATTGTGTCGTGCAAAGGCTGCCCCTGATAGTCTAGTGGGCATTGTATCGAGATACCTGCTATTTTATGCTTCGTGATTGATTGATTTTTTGCGCTATTGAAGTAATAGGGCTTTTCCCAGTTTGTTTTTTGAGTAACTTTGACGTCTTCCAACAAAGCCACTGTTCCTCCTTGGAGGCCTCCAGTGGACCCCAACTGGGCAGGCATGCTAAGAGAAGAAAACTTGGCTGGACCCCTGGACTGAAGAGGACCTGACCTGGGGTGTCTACATTGCAGCCCTGGTCAAAATGGCCCAGCAGAGATTATACTACCTGAGACCTCTCAGAAAACAACAATGGAATGAAAAACTGCTGGTGACCTTCTACCGCTGCCCCAGAGAGAGTATCTTAGCTTACTGCACACCTGTGTAGGGTTTGCCCATTGCACAGTGGCACATAGGACAGCACTCCAGAGAGTTAATGTCATTGCCCAGAGGATCATGGGTTGCCCTCTCCCCTCTTTGGAAGAGCTTTAGTGCTCCCGCTGCCTTAAGAAAGTTCAAAACATCCTTAAAGATCCATCTCACCCTGGGCACCCCCTTTTTTTTTTTTTTTGAACTATTATCATCTGGCAGATGGTACAGAATAATTAAAAACAAGGACAAACAGGCTGAAAAACAGCTTCTATCCCAGGGCAGTAGCTCTTTTGAATTCTGCTATATAGTGCAGTGTTGGTGCAGTGTCGGGGGTTTTCGGTTCAATATGTGGAGTGTGAAGGGTGTGTGTTTGTGTTTATTTTCATGGTCGTGATGTGCACTGAAGACGGTGTTTCGTTGTACGAGGAACGATGACAATAAAGTTAACTAAACTAAACTAAATTTGATATTTATTAGGGCTGAACCCCATTTGCAAGGACACATTTTGGTCCACTCATTCCTGCCACTGGTTATACAAAGAAGCCACAAGTAGCTTGATTTGCACAATACATTCCACCAAATTGGCCCCATCCTGGCTTGGTATTGGGGTGGGTGTGGGTGTGACCTGGGCAGCTCTTTCTGGCCTCCTGGGAGCAAACTCGGGTGCGGGAAAGAGGCACAACAGCCTTCTGCATTTGGGCCAAATTTAATCTTAACACCTGCAGAAAATGTAAACAGCATGTGATGTACTTTAAATTATAGGTTATTATAAATTATAAGTTATAACCCAGGAAATTATATTTCCTGGGTTGGTTTCACAGACTCAACAGTCCCACAGTTAAAGCAAAAATGCTTGGATGGGGGGGGGGGGGGGGGGGAACAACAGCCCTGTCTGATCAAGACAATGTTTAAATTAAATGGATAAATTAACTCAAGAATTAAAAAATAAGACTGAATCTGATTATTATAAAATTTGGGAGTTTTACCACTGGTTGAAAAAAGGAAAGAATAAGTGTATCAAAGATGACTAAAGTTAATGTATGTATGTAATTTTGTATTATTTTTTTATATTTATTGCTTAATGATGTAAGCTGTGTCAGGATGTATGCACCACGTTCATTGTTGTTTTTAAATGTCTTTCTTTTTTAGTCGATTAATAAAAAATTATTTAAAAACATTTAAAAAAAGAAAACAAGGCTTCTTGTCTGAAACAACTTGTAAATGTTGAGCTGCTTCTAAAATATTTCACTGAAAAAACAAAATCTCTACAAGAGGCAAAGAGGGGGGAGAAAGGGGGCCCCGGTTGACTTGGGGGGGTCTTGAAGGGCCCACACCAGAAAGATCACGGAGAGGGGAGGCGGCCTGAGGTCCTGCTCGCCCCCCCCCCTCTGGTTCCCCTTGAGACCCTCCAGCCGGTCCTCCGGGCTGGACAGCGCCGCGCCCTGGCCTCAGCATCGGCGGGAAGGCAAACCCGGGGGTGGGGGGGGCGGTTCCCGGGGGCCGGCCGCCTCTTCCCCTTCCCGCCTCGCTCCGCCCCGACGTGGCGCATCACACGGGCGGCACCCGGGAGGAGCCACGCAGGCTGCCTGGCTCGCCCGGTCTCCTGGCCGGCCGAGCGCTTACGCTCCTCGCACACAGCGCGCCGCTGTCAGGGCGCGCGGGGCGGCAGAGCGGCTGGCCGGGCAGGGCAGAGCCGGGGGCGGCGATGCGTTGGCGCCGGCCAAGCCCTCGGGAGCCTCGTCCGCAGCCGCCGCAGCCGCCACCGCCGCCGCAAGATGCCCGGGAAGCTCCAGAACCGCTACAACCTGGTGGACGACGCGGGGGACGCGCGGGTGCCGCTGCACAACGAGGAAGCCTTCCAGCACGGCATCCACTTCCAGGCCAAGGTGAGAGTGGGGAAGGGAAGGGAAGGGAAGGGAAGAAAAGGGAAGGGTAGGGAAGGAAAGGGAAGGGAAGGAAAGGAAAGAAGGAAAGGGAAGGGAAGGGAAGGGAAGCGCGTCCTGTCTGGTCAGCTGAGAGGCCGTGGTGCCCCCAGCCCCGCCTTGCGCCGGCTCCTTCCTGAACGCGCTTGGATCGCCCCGCCGGTGCCCTCCCTAGCTCCGTCCACTCGGCCGCCGGGGCCAGGGGAGCAGAGCTCCGGCGCAGGACACGTCTCTCTGGCCCTTAGCCGGATCCTCTTGCGGGCAGCTTAGCCGGCCGGCCGCGTCTGGAAAAAGCCAGGCAAGGAGTGCTCCGCACAAGGAAAAGGGGGCAGAGTTGCTTGGCCACTGCTGCATTGGGGACTGACTCCCGATGCGACGCAAAGGCAGCGAAGTTTGAAACAGAGCCTCTCTCTCTCTCTCTCTCTGCTGGCACAGTCTACCCGCTGGGCATCAGGTGTGAACTGAAGACTTCTCTAGCTGCTAGTTCCCTCCGAGCTTCCGGGCCTAGGTGTGGCAATCCCCCACCCCACCCCCCTGATGCGCTGGTCAGATTGGAAAACATGTCAAAACGTGCCATGTTCCTCTTTTCGTCTGCCCATGTTCTTCCCTCCGCTCTTTATCTCGCCATTCCCACGAGGATGCTGGATAATCGGTCAACCCAGACCAGGCAAAAACCTGGTTAAGGACCACCACCCCCCTCCACCCCCCTTGACTAGCCAATGTTGGTCTTCCTTCCGTGGGGTGGAGCCAAGAAATTTTAGGGGCTGGAAACACCAAACAGGCCCACCACCTAGGCTTGATCTGGCTTTGCATAAACTGGTTTGTCCTGTTGGATGCTTTTTTAAAACCATTATTTTAATGTCCTTAGATTTCAGAGTTTAAATGACTTGGATGGTTTCCCACAGAATTAATGAGCAGGCTAAAATGGGAAAATTCCTCCCCTAGCCAGCAAACATTCAGGCACCAGTTTTGCCAAAGGTCAAAATAACAGTTTTTGCTGATTTCAGCCTTATCCCCCCACCAGTCGTTGCAGTGGGTCAGGATGGGCACAATTTGGAATCACCAAGATCTCCTGAGGGGTAGAATTTCAGTGGCCAACTAAGCCACGCACTGTGGCCTATTTTAATCTGTGCACTCTTACAGGATCTCCCGATGGGAGTGGAATTTAACTCTGTTGCCAGCAGGTTATTCTCTCTACCTTGCCCTGATTAAACATCCCTGGAACAAAAGGGACAAAAGCTGAAAATGGCTGCTTTGTGGAAAAGTCTATTTTAAACCTGGGTAGGCTGGGCTGCTTTTCTGAAGACGGTCTGGCCAGGTTCTGTCTTGGCCTCCTTTTCTCTGAAGGCACCCAGGATATTGCTAAATGAGGAGGTGTCTGGGAGTGGCCATTTTGGAGAGCAGAGTGGGTGGGCTTGGGTGTGTGTGTGAGAGAGGGGGGGGGGGGGGGGGGGGGAGGGAGAGGGAGAGGGAAGGAGGGAGATATCTATATCTGTCTATCTATATCTATATATCTATATATCTGTCAGTCTGTGCTCCATCTTTGCCAAAAGATGCAAAGCAGTAGAAAAGTAGAAAAGATCTTGAAGGCTGACATTATCTATATATCTATATCTATCTATATCTAATCTATATCTATCCATCCATCCATCTATCTATCTATCTATCTATCTATCTATCTATCTATCTATCTAGTATTTAGGTTTGTTCTGGTATTTTCCCACGTCTTAATAGTTGTGCTTTTAGAGTTATAGTGACGTTTCGGCAGAATCTCATCTGCCATAATCAGGCTAATGTATTGGGTTCTATAATAATAATAATAATAATAATAATAATAATAATAATAATAATAAT